TTGCTTCAATGACGTTTTAAAATGCACATATTCATCGAAAAATGCATTCATACTATGACTGCATTGAGTTGTTGACATCCCTATCCAAATGTCGTTTTCAAATAGCATGGCACCCAACGACTTCTGTTTTCATACAACCCCGACAACCATTCGTTATCATGTAGGTTATATGTATCGAGCACAATTCTCTAACCTTCTTCAAATTCTTCAACATTCTGTGTATCATACACTAATTCGTGCATAGACGAAAAAATTGAGCCTTTGTCAATGTGATACCCGAACTTTTCGGGCAACTCTTTTATGATGTGTCATAAATACCATCTATGCCTCGTATTTGAAAAGACTATCTCAATTGTATTTTGCATAGCCTTTTTTTGATTTGTAATAATTCCATTAAGAGGTTGAATGTGCATGCACTGCATCCATTTCCTAAATAGTCACACAAATGTATCTGTATTTTTATTTGATAGCAAACCACATTCAAGAAGTGTTGATTGTATGTGATGATTTACTCCGACAAAGGGAACAAAAGGCACGTCGTATTTATTAGTGAGATAAGTCGTATCAAAGGTCACTACATCTCCGAACTCCTTATACGCTAGCCTACGCCTATTATTTGCGCAGAATAGATTTTTAAGCCGTAACCCTTCGTCCAAATCCATACAAAAGTAAAATCCCGAGCACCGTGCCTACATTTGTGAAAAGTAAGATTGTATTGTCACGACATCTCCTTCACTTAGTCTCAAAAGCCTTACTTGTTCAACATAATTTTGACAATCCTTTTCTTGTAAGTCATATTCTCATACCCACTCGCTCAACAATTACAAAGTTGTAACTTTTGTGCAAAAGAATTTAGGCCGTGTCGTTCATTTCAAGCTTGCATTTAACATTTGCACTCAACTCTCGATTGCATCGATACATCCTCTACTTTGAAGGACTTGTTTTATGAATGTGTTCGAAATACACTGTGCAAATTTTCTACATTCCACGAATATCTGAAGAAGCAATCAGCTTTGCTTTGCACCCTGTCTGAATTGTTGGTTGCAGATTCAAAGAAGCGCTTGTATTACTGCTTCTTCGACCCTCACGACAACACGTCAACATAACGTATCTCACTTCTCTATCCCCTCCCTTCCTCGAACTCCTTCTCCTAACTGAAAAACCTATGTTATACGTATCCCTCTTGTGAAATTCGAACAACTACTTTTCATGTTTGAACTTTGTACCACCTCCGGCACAATTGTACCATCTTTTCCTAAGAGATTATCTTCCAATGTGATTATATTTTCAGTATTGCTCTTATTATTGGATTGTACAAAAACTTGTATTACTGATTATATTAAATGGGAACATGATCAGCATTACAATCAAATTAAATTTTGAGTATTGTTAATATGTAAATGAATATCCAATTTCAAAGAAAAAAAAAAATAGAAATGAGATGACATGTCTATCAATAAAATATGACAGAATCATACAAAAAATATTAGAAATTTGCTTCGATTCTCAAACACTACAAATTCAAAAATATTATGGAAAAATCACCTTTCTTCGTCATTCCTTCGACCCCTATGTCACTACAACTGCTCGTTAAGTACGTGAATCCTTCCGGTTTGCACCAAAACTCTAATTTTCCTCGGATGTGTGGTGGTCGTCGTCACGATCTATATTGGGTAGGTCGGAGATTTTCATGAGTGGGTTAAGGATGGCGGGATGTGGAAGGATACGACCGTGCACGATTTTTCCCAGTTGGTTAACATTGGCCGGATGTGGCCATACACGAAGTCTAGTTGGTTAACGATGGGTGCATGTGGAATGATGTGGCCATACACGAAGTCGAGTGGGTTAACATTTGTGGTATGCAAAAAGATGTGGCCATCCAAGAAGTCAAGGTCGCAGAGCACGCTTGGGTGGAGGGGTTTTCAAATGAATTGAGAGTTTTCTCAAATGAATTGGTTTTGGGCCAGTTTAGGAGGCTCTGTATAAGTTCCAAACTTTTAAGCAGCCATGTAGTCGATTTTGAATTGTACCACGTCAGCTTTTTTGAATTGCTGTACACAAACTTGTATGGAAGTAGTATACAAGGAGCATTATTGTAAGAAAAAACTATTACATTAGTATATTAAATCACAAACCGTCACATAGGATGTCATGTAGGGCAACTATCTTAGTGAGCAATTATGAATAACATTACTCTTAATTTTAATCATGTGTTCAATGGGATTCGCAACATTTCAACTATACATTTTTCTAACTTTTATCATAATTCATTAAAAACTTGATTTTTATCTAAACCATACAGGGACATGGTATGAATACCACTGTGAGAAAATTTCATCATCTTTCTAAGTAGGGATGGCAAAAATATACGTCAAACTCGATACCTGCGGGACCCCGTCCCAAACGAGGTGGGGATTACCTGCTTAATTGAGTAATCAGGTCAGGTACGGGGCGGAAAGTTGCACCCGATGCGGGTGCGGGGTTTTTTTTTTTTAATTCAATACTTTAAATAGAAAAATTTCACGAAACTTCTTTAATTTTAATAGAAGATGGCAACTTTTTAATTCAAGTTAAAGTTGAACAATCAATATTAACAACATCTTTCATGGGTTCCACAATATTTTAACCACACATTTCAATACTTCTATCACAATCTACTAAAAAATTTAATTTTAATCTTCACCAAACACCATGTAAGATTATATAAGGAATTTGATAAACAATAAAAACCTTACTTGCCAAATATATTTGAATAATTTAACTTTTAAAAATAAAATAAATTAACTAAAAAATTTAATAACTATATTATTGTCTCTCTTGAATGAATGGGGATAATAAAATGAATTATCAAAAACTATAAAAAAAAAAAAAAAACTAAATGAGTATGTAAACAGGGCAACCGCCCATGCCGCCTTAAATGGGTAATGAGGCGGGAAAATGCTCAGTGAGACAGGGGATCCCGCCCCGCCCTATTGCTATCCCTATTTCTAAGGCAGAAAATCTACAATTTTTATTAGGTTTCTTTCAGCGTTTGCGTACAGTATATATAACAACAATCACATGAAGCAATTCAATGTCCATACATTCTTCTAGCAATCACCCACAACCTAATAGAAATCCTAATAATTAATATTCTTTATGTTTGTTGTAATGCAATTTTTTGAAAAATAATTTCATAGGACTTATAAAATACAAAATAAACTTAGGCATTATAAACTCATAAAAAATATAGAAATAAATTAATGAAAGGAATGTTAGTTTATATTTATTATTGATCGATCAACCATCTAGCTTCCTTTGTTAAAAATGGGAGCGTATGGATAGTTAGGAATTTCTCGAATGAATCTCACTCCTTCGTATGTGAATGAATCGTATTATCGTTGAGTGACAGATGAGAAATTTATGGAGGACTGACCCATAATAAACCTCTAGGTTTGCAAGCTTATGCTTTTTGCTAGCGGCGCCATGTTCCTCATCCAGCCAAGTTGTCTTTTTTTTTTTTTTTTTTTTTTTTTTAAAAAAATTTTTTTTTTTTTTTTTTTTTTTTTTTTTTTTTTTTTTGTTTTTTTTTTTTTTTTTTTTTTTTTTTTTTTTAAATAAATATTTCCTTCGCATAAATTTGGTATTCTCTTAGAGTCTAACAAAATTTAAATAGTAGGATGGTTACATTACCATCACAATTTTTATTCGTTACACCACATTTTAATTGCAGTTAATTTCTTCAATCATTGCTCGTTATAGCAATTATTTTCTTAATTTTTTTGAATTCTTAATTTAAACATTTCATTAATTACTATATCATATCATTGATGATAATTTATATTAAAATATTTTGTTTCCATGCTTTGAAATGAGGGAAAAATATTTTTTCATACGCATTTATTTATTTTGATATATGATTAAAAAATAAGTTGTTATATACTGTTTCAACAAACTTTTTGAACATAAACTATTATCAAAAATAAAATATGTTAATAAATGGAAAGTTTGAGAATAAGAATGTCATTAAAACTTGCTAGGGATATAATTGTCATAATGAGTAAGGATTGGGAACCTTAAGTGTAATTAAAATATGGTACAAGATAAAAAATTGTGGTGTGAATATAATTACCTAAAATATTATGGTGACTTATTTTTTATACTTACTAATTCACCCTTGAATTGTATGTATATTTAATTTTGTATTATTGTCGTTCTCAAATTTAACTTAATTGGACTTAAATTACTTTTGATCCTGTATCAATTAAGATTCACGTACATATTATATATTAATTAAAATAATTAAGAATAGTTTGCAACTTTCAAAATATGAAGATTGATCATAGCTGAAATCGAGGATGGAGCCATTTCAATATTGCCCTAATTAAACCATCAAACTCCACAACCAAATCGAATACGAAACCTCGAAATTAATTAAGCTCCATTCGATTTCACTAAAAAGATAAGAGTAAAATTTGTTCAAAGTCAATAATTAATTTTAATCATACATTTCGTAGAGACTTACAACTTTACAATTGCACATTCCATCAAAATATACTAAAAATTTGATTTTTATCTAAATCAATCGGTATAGTTTGTAGCTTTCATGTTCATGAAAGTAAAAATGTCTCATCTCACACGACGTCGTATTACCGGTCTTCAGATAAGTCCACAGAAAAGCTTGGCTGCAGAATGCTAAGATTGCTGAGGTGAGTTCAAACACAAAGCCATAAACGATTGTTACAACTGTTGAATTATATAATTGCATAATGTCATAATTTGCAGAATATATCAGTAAATAAAAGAGGCTAACCGACCCATTTTTTCAAACAATAACATGTGAAACGTGTCTTAGGAATGTGTTATAGTTTCAGCACCTGGCAAAAGGCCCCACCGAATCTTAGCCACCGCATCACCGCATGCATGTATACGTGGAATGGCAGAAGCCTTCCACGCCCACATGCACCACTTATATAATGCTATATATTCACCGATTCTTTCATCCAAAAAAGTCGAATTATTGTTTTTCTATAATTGTAGTAAATTTTCATGGCCGCAACCAATGGAACAGGAGCTCAGATTCCGCCGGGGAAGCCAATGAGTGTGGAGCAACACATGCTGGACAAAGGGGCTCAGATGCTGCAGTCTTTGAAGCCTATAAAGCATATGAACCAGCACGTCTGCACTTTTGCCCTGTACAGCCATGACATGACTCGCCAGATAGAGACTCACCACTATGTAACTCGGGTCAATCAGGACTTCCTCCAGTGCGCTGTTTTTGACGCCGATGACCCCATGGCCCACCTCATCGGTTAATTGAATTTCAGTCATTCAATTTATTTTAATTCATCATTTGTCTTTAATAAGCATGTCTCTTTTGAATTCCATCAGTTCTGTGATTAGTTCTGTTTGAAATAAATGTAGGGTTGGAGTATATAGTATCCGATCGCTTATTTGAAACTCTTCCACCGGATGAGCAAAAACTCTGGCATACTCATGCCTACGAGGCATGTACACCTTCCATTTTATCCAGTAATAAAAGATCAAGCAAAAGGGTTAATATAATTTTTTATATGATGCAGATTAAATCAGGCCTTTGGGTGAATCCTCGAGTGCCAGAAATGGTTGTGAGGCCTGAACTTGAAAATCTTGCCAAGACCTATGGAAAATTTTGGTGCACTTGGCAGACTGATAGGGGTAGGTATACATTACATCTGTACTGAAAGTACTGGGCAGTATAATATAAAATTTGTTGATACGTTCTGCAGGAGATAAGCTTCCAATGGGTCCGCCGGTATTGATGATGTCTCCGCAGGGAACGGGTATAGGCGTGGTGAATCCGGTTCTAGTCCAGAACAGGGATGACAAATACAATATATCAAGTGATGCACTCAAAACTGCGAGAGTGGAAATAGCAGAACCGGAGTGGCTTAACCCTCAAGCAGACTACTGGAAGCAGCACAATGACAAGGGTTTCGCCGTCGAAATGGAGACGACAGAGATGAAAAAAAGGGCATCATTCCCTTGAGGAGAAAAGTACAAGCCTGACAGTACTACGTCTACCAGGATGAAGATGAACTTAGATGAAATATTTTGGGGGTATCAGTGCCTTATATTTTATGCAAGTTTTGTGTCTTGTAACGTTTGAGGTAGCTGTATACTTGGTACGAGGTATGGGTCTATTGTAGTTTCTATGGGTACATAGAGTTGTATATGTATTTCTTTTGGACAAGTTTAGCTTTCTTAATTTTGCAGTATTGGTTCCATTTGCGTTGATATCAAGACTTCGATGAGCATATTATGAGACTTCATTGAATAGATTTAAATAAATTAATTTTTAAAGCCTATTAAAATTTTGCTAATAATTCAAGGGATTCTAGTGTTTTATATGTGAAAACTATTATTTTGCTTACACAGAAGAAGTTGAAGCAAACCTATTTTTGAAACATCTTAGGCTAACCTATTTTGGGGCAAACCCATTTTTAAAGCATCTTAGGCTAAGCTTGGCTTTTGTTATACGAATACTTGAAAATAGAATATAATGATTTACATAATTAGTTTAATGTTGATTGTGTTACATTTTTTTTTTTCAATTAAAAAAAAAAAAAAACCCCTTCTAGACACCACATCTGTAACGTAAAATATTATGTAATTTCATTATGTACAAATTGTATTATTCCTCATACTGAGGATTATCGGTAGTCGTCCTAATAGTATACATATAGTACTTTGTTATCTAATGCATGTGATAGTTTTTGAGTGACAAACTGGGTGGATATGTAAAAGATATTCTTTCCTTTCCAGCACTTTGGCATGTGTCAAAAAAATATTGTGACAAAGCCGTATTCGATGAAAGTCGTATGTACGGCTTGGAGGGAGATCTTTCATATCTTTCGAGATCCACCCTACAATATGGGGTAAAAAAGCCAAAATAAGTGATTTTAGCCCTTATAAAAAGAATAAAAAAGATGAAGAGAAATTGGAGATTAAAGGCAAATAAGAAACACTGGAGAAGCGTCCAAAGCAATCACGAGAGCTAAAGTCCTACTTCTCACAGATTAAGGAATGAAGAACAAAAATCAATAATATAAGTGTAGATCTCCTTCTCTTTAAAAAAAAAAAAAAAACCCCTTCTAGACACCACATCTGTAACGTAAAATATTATGTAATTTCATTATGTACAAATTGTATTATTCCTCATACTGAGGATTATCGGTAGTCGTCCTAATAGTATACATATAGTACTTTGTTATCTAATGCATGTGATAGTTTTTGAGATTACATATGTGTCATGTAGGTAGACTATCGACAGTTTATCATTATTCGTGAAAATAAGCCCTTTTTTTAAGCCAAAGTAGCTAAAAAAGTAGCAACCTCTTTGTTTACTTCCAAAGAAGATATTGGTTTGTCATTTTGAGAGGTTGAGCTATCACGAGGTCGACTTTTTATCTGTACGTGATCATAAGAAGTAAATTATGAGTTTGATGAAGTGTGAACAAAAAAGTACGTTTGACTAACTTTTAAAAAAATATTAATTTTGCCAATAAGAGAATTGGAAGAATTGAACTTTTTGCTGCCAAAAAGAGTATCTGGGCTCTTGCGTTGCAAGATGTGAATTGCAAGAAGAGTGACAAAAAATTGTACCTGACGATGCACAGTGTGAACTGTAAGAGGAGTGCAGAAAACTTCACATAGCTTGAGCTTATAATGTCGAACTTAATCTAATAGGATAGAGTCCACTTTTATCTATTGAGATAGGGTTGACCAAGTTATTGTGTTATATGTTCAATTTCTACTAGTAAGATAGATCTGGTGCGAAATGTGCCTAATTACGGACTAATGGGATAGGTTCATCTTCGATCTTAATTTTCGGTATTTGAAACTATAGGAAAATCGTAGCATGCTTTGACATAAATTTCGGGTCCATAAACTTACTTGAAATGATGAATTCCAAGATCTTTGTGTGGTTGAATCACCTTACCTTCAAATTAATCTCCAAAATCTGCATTTTCTTGTACTTCAGTAATCCAAATCCCGATCATAATGGAAGGGAATTATTATCCACAATCTAAGTGTCATTTCTTGTGAGACTTCATGCCAAAAATGTGGTTCTAGGGGCTTTTCAATTTTGGTGTGAATTTACATACGAATTTTCACCATATTTTTCATACCACCGTCTTGTTCCTTTTTCCTTCTATCTAGAAGTTTCAAGTGGTTACTTGGGAGTTATATATGTTTGAATTTTAAATTTAAACCACTCCCTCCAACCCTTATAAAATTCTGTGGGTTGGGTCACCCTACATGGACAACTCATTATCCGTATATTCCAATAGAAACAAACTTCGCCGTCTCTTATAAACTGATATAATGTAAAGTGTGTCTCAATGATCAATGGGGATTGCAAATCAGCAGATGTATAACGGTTGGTGGTGTAATCTTAAAATTATTGGGGCACTAGTGGATCGTGTATACATTGATGGACTAGAAGTTTTTATTAACTCAGGAGTCTTAATACAATTATATGTCTGAATTGCCATAGGAGTATAACATCAGTGTGGAGTATTGTATTGGAATTTTGTGGATAGAGTAAGCCCTCGGTGGCCTCGTGCATGACCATGGTGAGAAGCCAAAGTCAAAGTATTATGTCTGGCCGCTGAGGTCAGAGGTGACCAAATGTGATTTATGGTCCATGGTGTTGCTTCATGGCAGGATAATGCTTGATGTTGTATGCTATATATTTACTAAATTATTCATTCATTACAAGTTAATTTGTTACACGTCTTCTATGGAGGCTCCAAGTCATTGACATGTGGCAGCCAGCTAGCAAGCTTTATCAAGTCCGCATTACCCATCACTATACTATTTGGTTGAGTTGAGGTCTATGTGAGGTATTAGAAGTGATACATCACCTCCGTTGATGTTCCATGTAGAATCGACCCTCAATGGCCTAGGCACGATGCTATAACCTGCTCCAGAATGGATCCAAGACAATTGGCCTCTTTTTGATGGAAGACATCTACAATTTCACTTCTTCCAAGAAATCTTTCGTACAAGATTTTCCTATAACCGATTGATGTGACATCTCTATATTAGACGTTACAGTTAGCTTGTTAGATTACTCTCCAGAGATCAAATTTAGGCTCTAGGGTGGCTATTAGAAAAGTTAAATACCACTCAGGATATGATTAATGGGATGACATCTAGGAGAAGACGCATTGACTATTAAGATAAGGTCACTTGTCTTTTCATATAACGATGACAATTCCTCATATTCTATTATAAAATCTCAAACGTAGGGTGCGTTTAATTGTGAGTATAAAATTTGCAAGGAAAGAAAATAAATTGCCTAGAAATTATTAACTAAATGTGTTTAATTGATTTTTTTTTTTTTTTTTTTTATACTTGTCCATTTTTTATTAGTGAATAAGTGAGAGAGGGATAGATGAGAGAGAGAGTTAGTTACTTGAAAAATGAAAATTACAATTCCCTAAAGAAAATGTTATCCCTATTTTTGGGAAAAAAAAAAAAAAAAGGCCACACCAATAATTGGAAAGTATTTTCCATGAAGATAATTAGCACTCAAATACCCAAAAAGTAGAAATTTGAATGGAAAATGACATTTTACACGAAAAGTGAAGTCAATCAAACACACTATTAATGTCATTTGAAGGTAATGCAATTTCACACGATCAACCTTAAAGTTGCTCTCTCTCATCTTGTTATCCTATAAACCCCCAGCATCCTAACATTGATGTGTCTAACGTCTTTCAATCATCCCACACCCAAATATACCATACAAGTTAATTGATTTAACTGTCGAAGCGCATGCTATTGCATCCCACATCATTGAAGAAGGTCACGTGTTTTTAATGATTTGTCCAAGTGTGTAGAAGTTTAGTTACGTAAATATGAGTGAAATCGAAATTTGTTGATCAGGTCATTCATACAGAAGAGGTCAACATAATTTCTTCCTATTCATTTAGCTTAAAATTCACACACACACACACACATATAGAGGAGGATATAGTTGGAAGGGAAGAGGAATAAGTTGGGTAAGTGTGGTTGATCTACACTTTGGGAGGTGGAAGAAGAGGCTGACCCAACTTAGGTTGGAGGTGGCGGAACTGTATAATGGGTGTGAGAGTGGTAGATGGATGGATATGATTAAAAGCCGATGGATGGAGGATGGGATAACTATATTGGAAACAACGGGCTTGAGCTGAGTGGTTAAATGTGAGAGACAAACATGCAAAATACTTTCATATACGGGCCGAATAGCTTAGCTCATTAGCAAGCTAGGCCTTGGCCCAGGGCCACCTAGGTAGTGGACTTGAGCCACGAGAGATGTGGGACCTCAAAAAATAAAAAATTTAAGAGCCCAATAATGTCTTTTCTTTTCTTTTTCTTTTTCTTTTTTTTTTTTAGAGGGAAAGATAGTCGAGAAAATTAATAGAATTTTCTTGCATTAAATATTAATTTTTAATTATTCAGGTTTAATATTTATTCTTCAAATTCGAATGCTACTTCTGAATTTTTTACTTTTTAAAAATAGGATATTTTGAACAATATATGATAGTCACCACCCTATCCAAAAGCCCTTTATGTTATATTTTTTAAAAACGAGAATTAATTCTTGGAATAATCAAATTGCGAATAAGTACAATCAGAATAATATATTTTTTCAATAGAAATTGTTTTTGAATTGACCATGATTTATGTTAAAAAAAATTGCTAGGCCAATAAAAAAATTATATCAGGTATCTCATAATAATTTATTGTCTATAATATCAAAATTTTCAAGACCAACCTTGCATTAGTGTGGTGATTGCTGTGCACTTTGTCAATTGTTTCTAGGTGTTGTTGAAATTGATTGCTTGAGGGTGGTCTAAAGCCTCAAGTGTTGGGAATCTGCTTATACATGCACAGCGAAAATTAAAATAATTTTCGATTCCCACCAAGAATCGCCTTTGTATTTAGATAGAAATTGTGATAAGATTATACTTTTTCCAGAACTGCAAACTTCTTTGCTATTCTTTTCGTTCTAGCAATCTTGATTTGTCATCCACAACTGTCCAATTGTCTAGCTTCCAACGATAATCCACACAAAGAACAAGATTGTAGCTACAGGGTTTTCTCCTCTTGTGCTAGCAAAAATAATTGTGAGAAAAATCATATGAATTGAAAATCCTAGCATTGTATTTATATAAGCCCAAATGGGCCTGACCTGACCCGGTCCAGTCCAATATTTAATTAAACCATTTAATTAAATTCGGTCCATGAATTAATTCGGGCCCATAA